TTACAGCTAGCTAACTCATTTTGTATTAGAACTATTGCGGAAAAGATGATCAGTGTTCCTAAAATAAGACAGTGTGTTCACAGAAAGTGAAGGGGACGAGTGGGCTCAAGAACAAGTGAACTGGAGAAACTCTAAAAAAGTCATGCAATGAGAGTAGGAGAAACAATTTTTTAAAAATACTTTTGTTTTATGAAAGCATAATGTATTGCGAGGAAGCTGGATATGTCCTGGTGGGGACAGGGGAAGAGGCTCACTGGCTGCTCTAGTACAAGCACTTAAACTTTATAGGAAGCAACCCTGGAAGCCTGGGAGTAGAAGGCCTGCCTCTGGCCTGTAGTATTTTACATATTCTCTCCATCTCCTCTGGGTCCCACCCCTGCATATATTCTTCTTCCTGCATTATCAGAGTTGATGACACAAAGTTGATTTAGATCTCTTAGACTTATTTTAAATTCATATCACACACACACAAAAAAAAGTGTAAAATTCTGGACTCCAAAGGGTCTTTTAGCAAAGATGTAAAGAATTTCTCAGGTGAAAATCTGATTCTGAAACCTGAAACATTAAGAAGACTGATATTTCAGGAGGCTGGTAATAAATCACAGTTATGGTAACAACAAGCTGCTTGGTTTGATCCTCTATCACAGTGTAAGCTGTTAGTGAAAGCGAGGTGCAAAGCAGATTCAAATCAGTATCAACTTGTGCTCCTTTGTGAAAGATGCTCACTCCCATTTGCTTGTAGAAAAGGCAAAAATAAAAACATTGTGTTCACTGTTTTTTCATGATGCCTGCTTTGCAGATATTAGGTGACACAGTTTATTGTTAATGCTGCACAGTGCACACCATGTACTTTGAGCGAAACATTTCAGTCTTTTGTAGGCCAACCTGCCCCTACCAGCAGATGTGCAGTTTATTTGGTACATTAATCTGTTCTTAATTATAGTGCCACCCAATACAGTCTTGCGGTTATTTTTTTGAAAACAGGAGGAATTGCTCTAAGGCTTCTTAAAGGCTGATAAGACTTTGCTAGGACTCAGTGTTCAGCTGAAGAACTTGTGGGTGGAGGAAAAGGATTTCTGTACTTAGTGAAGCAACTCAATAATTGAAAAATTGTGATTTTAATTTCAAAGTAATTTACAATATAGATGTGCTTGCAGAAATACCACTCTCGCTTCTTGATAGAATGCACACATGCTTGATGTCTTAATTAGATAGGAGAAATTGTCTGCATTCGCTTAGAACAATGTTTAGGTATTTAGCATTCAGGCTTTTTTAATAATCTTTTAATTCTATTAAATGTGAAAGCAAGTGCTTAGAATAAACATTGAACTTATTTCTGGCTTTAATAAAAAAAATGCTGTTTTCACAGTTATGCTTCAGCCTAATTCCATTTCAAGCATTGTGTTTTTACTCAGAGGCAAAAAAAAAGGTTGTGATTTCTAAACCTGGAGATAGATCACAAATCTAAGATGTGTTGCAATTGACCTTAATGAGACAGCATCTGCCTAGTACCAGTGCTTAAGCTCTTATCTTCTATTGTCGTTTTTGTTTCATTCTGCCAAGAAGGTGGAGCTTGTGTCAGATAAAAAGAGGTGGGGAGAAGGCTTTTCAGACAATAAGAAATAGAGTCCATTCATTGTCTGGAGCATCAGATTTCACAATAGTTATCCAGGGATGCAGGCTGTTTCCACTTACCCTTGATCATGTGTAAGGTTACACGAGTTTTCCCTTATACCATGCTGCTGTTTTCCATGAGTACTGAGACCTGTATACCCCTCCTGAGTGAGGCAGCACTGGAACACAGATTGTTATGCTCCTAATTCTTATCCAACCCAAGAGATGTAAAATGTGATAAGCTTAACAGTCGGACTTGATGATCTTAGAGGTCTTTTCCAACCGTAAGGATTCCATGATTCTATTCTAATGCAAGTCACCTTGGTATGGGTACGCTCCCTTAGGCATAGAAGGACTAAGGCATGAGTGAGGACTGAGGACCAGAGCCAGTACTACCCACCAACTCTGCACGGCTGAGCCTTCTAGGTGGGACAACAGAGACTTGCCAAGAAGAGGGACTTGGGATGTCCTCAGGGCCTGCTGCATTGCCAGGTTGAGATCCATGTGAAAGTAGAGCCTTGCTTCAGCAGCATTAAATAGCACAAGCTCATCTTTGCAGGAGGTCCAAGCCAGTCGTTACATTTCTTCGAGAGGTTTTGGAAAATCTAAAGCAAATACTCCACCTGGTCTAGAACTGTGTACACAAGCAGACTGCAGACGCAAAACACTGCTGGATAGAGAATTAAGTATTAACAAGCTAAAATTTATTTATAGAGTAAAACTACTGGCTTCAATTTGGCCTAGTTTCCAGACAGATACACTGATATTATTTGCGGTGAAAAAGCTTTACTAATTACATTCAGTTTCTATAAAAATAACTTAAAATCCAATCAAAATGATAGATGCGTCTCAGGTTCTGTTATCTTACTGCTTGCATTCAAGCATGTTTTTTTCTTTTCTGCTCTGAGCAGTAGCACTGTCAAAGCACAGATGCCCCAGCAGGGACACCTTGGAAGACACAGCCCTGCAGTTGGAGGTGATTCAGCCAGACTGCCTGGTTGTGTTCTGCTACTCTCATCTTGGCCTTTTCATCTGTTCTTTTTTTCCTCTGTGGTGTTGTTCACAAGTAGACAGGAGACAGATAGGAAACTGCAAGGCTTCCATGAACGGCAATACCAAAGTACATAAAAACACTGCAGTGACACTTATTAGGGGATAGAAGAACAGTTATCACACCTTTTCCAGGCATGCAGCATTCTGCGGTCATGATAAGGCTCTGGGTTCCTGCAACTGCATTACAGGACAGCATCACAAACTCCAGAGCTCAGCAGCCCTGAGGCAATTTTTCTTCTTACCTGTAGCTAGACGCCTTCCCCTTCTTGATATTCAGCTTCCTTATAGCTCATTGCATCCTCCTGTACATATGCTAAGTATTCAAGTTTATCCAACAAAGTAGTATGCAACAAATATTACATGCAGACAAGTCCTTTAAAGAGGTCTTGAACTAAGCTGTTTACATGTTTCTTGGTCTTGAGTGTTTTGCTAGATACTTCAGTTTTTATTCTTCCTTCTTACAGTCATGTTTATCTACTATAGTCTCTCTTGCAAACATTCTTCAATATTGAAGCTGGCTTCAGGGTTGAAAGGCTGGAAAATTTCATTAAGGTGTTATCAACAATTATTTAGTTTCCTGCATTGGTGTTCTACTGTAAGTCAATGTTTGTGGGTTCTTGAAAATGTGTCTGATCTCTTATCATTCAGAGGACTTCAGGCTACACTCTGAAAGTTTTGACAGGATCTCCTGCAGTTTTAGTATTTGTTTTTTTTATTCAATATTTGCTAACTTTTTAAAGCCCTTGTTTCTACAACTCTACCTACAAAACACCCACGGACAGTTACACTCTGTAGCTAAAACAAGCTGGTGAGGAATGCACACCATGTCAGGTCTTCAGTGAGTGCGTAAGGGCTTTATACAGACAAGAAACAGGAAGAAATAACAAAATGCAGCATTTCTACATGCTCATGCCAGTACTTCTGAGGTCTCTCTTTTACATTATGAATACCAAGCTAGGCATAAATAAAACATGACTTATGCAGAAATATAACATATAACTTTCCAAAGAGATAAAAGCTATTCTGTAATCATCAGCTACTAATTAAAAATGCATTGGGTCAGCAGGAACTGTTTGAACACAATTTTTTTTATTGATTGTGAATGTTTCCACGTGAATACAGAACTGCTCGTGTTTCACCTCACCTCCCCAAGCTGTCATGCCCATCATACTCTGCAATGCTGTCTGAAGCATTGCTTTTCTTGGTGGTGGCGGGCTTTGTAATTTTGGGATAGTTATGCTGAAGTTAGAAGCTGTTTGAGTGTTTTCTCCTCCTCTTTATGTTTTTATCTGATGATGGAGACTGCTGAACACTTGTTCAGAAGGTAGTTTACAATGGGGACACCGGGCTGGCAGACACAAGCAACAGTAACACGAAAGTTGCTATTGCACAAATATCTCTTGAAGTGTTTGGAGCAGACTCAAAGCAGCTTGGGGCTGGAGGGGGCCTTTTACCGGGTTTGAATTACTGCTGACAGGAGCGTTTTGTTCCCAGTCCCGTGGCTTCAACTTTTATGATGCTTTTGGTGGAACCGATCGTTCAAACGAATGTTACCATTCTTCTTTATTTCCGCTTCGATTTCTTACTAAAACAAAAAAAAAGTAGAGGAAAATTGTGATCTTATTATGAACTCTACTTAGTAAAGTCCGCGCGTAGTGGCCTCGGGTATTTCCAATGCCGCAACTTTGGAGTCAGGCGTTTCACCCTCCTTTACCGACTGCCTTCACACCACGCCGAGTGCTGTCAGTTCGGCGCCTTGCCCGGTGACAGCCACACGCCGCTGCCCACCGGCCCTTCCCGAGCGGGCGGGACGCGCGGGTCCCGCGGGCGGACGAGGGAGCGAGCGAAGAAGCCCGAGCCCAACGGGAGCCCCCGAACCTCCTCTGCGGCCCCGGCGGAGGGCTCTGGGGCCCGGGCGGGCGGGATGTTGCGGGCTGTGCGGGGCTGGGCCGGTCAGACTCGCCCCCCGCCGCAGCCCCTCGCCGCCGCTCGCCCCGTGGGCCGGGTTATGTAAGCGGGCGCCCCCGAAGCAGCGGCAGCCGCAGCAGCATCTGCGGCGTTCCCGCCCCTGTCTCCGCCCCGCTCCCAGCGCTAGAGAGGCAGGAGGCGGCAGCGGCAGCGCAATAGAGCAAGTTTTGTCTCCTACGAGGGGGCGGCGAGGTCCCACGGCCCTCGGCAGTGCCGGCACCATGGCCGCGGCGCCTCTGGGGCGGGCAGCAGCTCCCGCCGCGGCGGCAGCGCCCCGCTGAGCTCCCCGGGCAGCGGGAGCGGCCGCCTCCGCCGCCCCTCCGGGCCGCCCGCCCGCCCGCCCGAGAGCGGCGGTCCCCCGGCACGGCCCGGCCCGGCGCGGCACCATGTGGGGCGGGCTGCACCCCCAGCCCGGCTTGCGCGGCTACAAGGCGGGTAAGGAGCGCTGAGGAGGGAAGGGAAAGGAAAGGGGCTGGGGCCGGGGCCAGGGCCGGGGGGAGGCACATGGGCCCCGCGCCGCTTCCCCTCCCCCGGCCCGGCCCGGCCCGGCTGCTCCCTCCCGGGTCCCCACAGGAACGCCTGAGGAAATGTCTCCCTCCCACTGCGGGCGGGAAGCGGCGCGGCCCCTTCCCCACACCCGGCTCCCGGAGGGGGGACGTGGCGCCCGGAGAGGGTGCGGGGCCGGCCCGGTGGAGAGGCCGATTAGGCGTCAGCGGCATCGGGCCGGCCGGGGGCTCAGCGCTGCCTTAGCTGGACCTTGCAGCGGATGATAAAAGCTGAGCTTAACCTACATAATCCGTTTCCATGTTTCGGGCTTTCGTTTCCCTCCCCGGTTTGTTAGTATACCCTTAGGCAGAGACTGGAAGCGTGCTTCTCTTGATGCTTTTTCGCTTTAAATTTAGACCGCAACAAATGGGTCGAGTCCTATTTTACCTTTTTTTCCCCCACCACTTCGCTGTCTCTGGATTAATTAGAGCCTAGTTCCTGCGGGTTGGCAGGGATGCGTTGATAGGTTAGTGCTTGGAGTTAGGTTGTTCCAGGAGAGACACCTATCTGTGAGCGATGGGCTGACTTCCCCCCGTCAAGGCTGTCAAACTGGAGGAGGAAAACTGGTGAATTGGCTTTAGAGCCGTGTGAACATTACTTTTGGGCAGGTGAGGCAAGGTACTGGCTCTTTTGGATGCTCTTTTCAGGGTTTGGAAATACTACTAACTAGATCACCTTCTGGCAGAGCTTCTGCAAATATTTTGTCATGTTTTGATTTATTGAAGCAATTGATCACAGCGGAGGTCTGTGATTTGGCTCTGCCATTGCAAGTGCAAAGTAGTGCTGTTGGAGTAATTTTTTTGCTTCGGAAGTTTGGGTTTATGTTTTAGTGTTGGGATTGCAAAACATGAGTGTATAACGTGTATATGGTTAGTTGACATATGTAAATAGCGGGATTGTTTTGCTTTCGACTGACAGGGTTTTTCTTGCAAATACAAGAGCTGCTAAGACGTTCTCAGCAGCTGCCCGAATCTCTACAAGTAGGCTAATGTTCATCCCTAGAAGGTGAAAGAAGACATTGTTCCTTTTTTCTGTACTGTGATTAAGTTATTAATTTCTGTGTATAACACGTTCACCTTGTTGAAGCCTTTTTATTTTTTTTTAATTATTCAGTGCTTCCTGCAAAATAATGGAATTACATTATCTTTGTGCTACAGCTTGCAAAGATAGTGGATATTCTGAACAGTAGGTGCAGAGATTTCAGTTAATTTGATGGAAACTGCAGGAATTTAGAGTGTTTCAATTCTTGATTATTTGTGTTTAGGGCAGGAATATTAAAAGGTTATGTCACAAGTGTAGTCTGACACTAACTTCAGACTGTTGCAAAGGTTGCTGATGTTTGTTTTCCATTAGTTTCAGGAAACTTTAGATTGTGCCTCTTGGTACAGTGTCTTTCCTTTTGTTTGGGGTCAAATAAAGTGTTTTAATACTGTGTTCAATTTGTCAGCAATTCTGATTGGTGAAGTATTGGATGAATGTTTTACTTTTGCATGTTTGTCAGAATGGTCTTTAAGATTCAAGAACAAATTTTCTATGTTGCTTTTCCCTCCTCCCCAGTCCCCTCATTCCTTTCGAACTTGTATTAACCCAGAGTATTTAATATATGTTTATCTGTAAGCACTAGAAGTGTAAGGTACAAAACTGGTAGAAAAACATCTAATTTGAGATAAGATTAACAGAAAGTAGTGATTAATTAGAAAGCAAGTAGGTGAAGGTTTAACCTTGAGATATCATCTGTGCTCTATAATTTCCAGCATAGGAGTCGCCTCCTTCATCTCTCTTACTGGGAAAGAGTCGAGAAGCTCTTTTGTGAGGTTTGTAATCTGTCTAAAGCAGTGGAAGTTAATTAGCTCTATGCAGGTATTTATTGAAGGGATGACAGCTACTAAGATCCTGTTATTGCCATGTTAGATATTTTTTTTTTTTTCAAGGAAGCTGTCCATGGGAAAAGTATTTTGTAGCAAACAGGAGCATCCTACGAGGAAGCAGAAGTTCAAGCACTTATTTTTAAGCTGAAGGAATTTTTCTTCTGTCAAGATATGTTTAATTCTTTAATGGCAACTACTTGCTATAGATTCTGATTGATCTGGGAGCATAACAGTAACTTGATAACTCTTATTAAACTGTATTTATTACTGAAAAGTGTTCTGTTTTGCTAGTTGTACTCTAGTTATCTATAGATATATGTATTTAGAAGTCTTAGTTTTGTTGAAAATCGTACAGTTCCCTTACAAAGCTAGGTGCTTACTGAAGTATTCTATTTACACAGGGGAATTACCAGTTTTTCAGTAATAGATGCAAATTAATTCTGGTTATCTTAAAATGTAACAGGCAAGGACACTTCTTGGGGCATATTTCATTTGTGGCCTTCAGTTTTATTCTCTTTTCTAATTTGCATATTGTTCCTGCTTTTTGGTTCAATGGGAGTGCATTCTCTGAAAACAAGTGTGCTGTCTTGTTTGCATCCCGCTGGAATTTTTTTTAGATAGGTGCTTCTTGTTTAATCAGTGAATTTAATGGCAAAGTTTGCTGCCCGTGTGAAATAAATTCAGCTTCTTACAGTCTCAGTGCCTGTCTGAAAAATTAAATTGCTATTTTTGGAGTGTATATGATTGACCTAGTCTTTCAGTCTTCTTGTACACATGTAACTGTTTATGAAACACTTATACCTCTATAAAGACAGCAGTTTGCCATGTGCTGCAGGAATTTAAATAACTGCAGTGAAGGGCATGCAGCATTTTAATCCATTTGCTTATTAATCTAGACCAGCCTTTAAAATGCACACTTGGTTAATAGCTCTTTTAAGACTATGAAAGTGTTCATCTAGATGTGTTTTACCTCTGGGGCATGCAGTCATTCAGTTAGGCCATGTGTGTCCAACAGATGCCTGTGGAAAGTGAAACCAGCACACTTTAAAATGAAATGACAAGTATTTATTACTTTCAGTAAACTGTACCGCCTCTAGTCAGGCTTCTCTCCACTGTCCAATATTATCTATTGATAATAATGGACATCAAAAAGATATTATTGACACTCCCTAAAAATAGTAGCCTGCACCCCTCTGCCTCTGGAGCCCTGGCTGTGTGGTTTGCCCTGCGTTCTTGTACTTGAGCCTTATTGGCAGCCTGACACACGTGGATCTGAAAGATTATTTAATGGTGTCACAAGCAAAATGTGAACAGCAATAAGGTCACAACAGTTTGTGGAGCACTACCTTCCTGGGGTACCCATGGGCTTCACAGGCAGCTTCCTAACAGCTGGCATGGGGAGGGTGCAGCTGATGACACTTGTTTTCATTATGTGAGGTGGGGGAAGGGACAGAAATCCAGTGGGTTTGTTTCTGTAACAAGTTTTCTTAGTCTGCTATTGGAGATCTGCAGCTGGGGATGTGACAGCTCTTGGAATATCTTGAGAAGGCAGGTTTATGTTTATGGGCTAGGCAAAGCAATAAATGGTGAGTTAGTCCACGTGTAGACTTCAAATTGGTTACCAGTTATAAGTGTATATATACGTTTGCATATGGTGCATTGTAAAGATTGATCACCTGAGCTTAAAAATGTGGTGTTCCTGCTGCTAGAATGGCCTCTACTGTCTTTCACAGATCACTGCGAGGTCAAATGACATTCTGTGTTTGAGTGATGGTGAACAGGAGCTACTTACTTCCCTTCAAAAACAATGCCTTTGTTTTTTTCCTCCCTCTGGGCAATTCACTTTTATGGATGTAGCATCTACTCTTTTAGTTCGTGCAGAACATGTATGTCTTAACTGCTGGGCATGAGAAGAGAGGTGGATGTGAGGGTATATTATAGTGTTGGTCTTGGGGCTTAGGAGTTTTTCTGATCTCTTGTATGTTAAACATTTACTCACTGAATAATAGACCTGTGTTTGCGGTAATTCTGTGCTTTTGAAACTTTAATTAAAGGAAGTAGTAATTTATGTAACGATTTTGAGAAGAATGCATTCATTTTAAATGGTTGTACAGAATAAGGATATAGTAAAAAGCAGCCTGAGCCATCACATCTGCCCTAGGAGGTGGTGATGAAGGAAGTGCTAGTAGGATAAGAGCATCTGTAGCTTTTCAAAAGAATGTCTAGGATTTATGCCCACCAAATATTGATTCTTACAGTTGCAAATTATTTATGCTAAGATTTTAGTTGGACGTTTAATACTTGTTAAAGAACCCATGTGTTTCAAGATATGGAGCACTTGCCAAATACAGTAAGAGTACATGGTGGTAAGAACAGCTGGAAGCCTCCTAAGTTGCACGACTTGAGGTTGTATCCAGAGGTGGTCATCTGCCATTGTTCGAAGCAAAGTTTGTTCACTGTAGACAAGTTACTTAAGAAGAGAGATAGTGCTACACTTGTTCAGTGTCACCTGCTCTGCCTTCTGTACTCTTTGGATGCTTGTTTCTATCATACAACTTGTCTGTGGTTTAACAGTTGGAGAGTTTAACTGATTTTCAATTCCTATGCTGGTTGTTCTTTGGCTGAAAAAGTGCTGACTTGGTTGTAGTTGTCAGTAGCCTCTCAGATGCCCTTGAAGTTGTACACTGACAATGAGACAGTCTGATTGTGGTTGTGATTAGCTTTAAAACACATTCAAGTGTATTCACTGTGTAATTCAAAAAGTGGCTTTCTCACTGGCTTCTGCCGTGGGTTAGCCATGGCTGGCTGCCAGACATTCACCCAGCCGCTTCCCACTCCCCTTGCTCAGCGAGACAGGAGAGAAAACAGGGTGGAAAAGCTTGTGAATTGAGAAGACAGAGAGATTGTTTTTTTCTGTGACAGTAGCTGGCAAGTGGACTTGACCATGGCGTCAGTCCATGTCAGCTACTCTTCACGCTCTTTCCTTGTGTTATTGCCTTGCGCCAGCCTGATCTCTGTAGG